CGTTTGTCACCCTATTCTATAAAAAAATGTAAATCAATTTTGAAAAAATAAAAGCGAGACGTACCCGTTTCCGATACAACGACAGTCATAGCTTGTATTGCCGCAACCAAACCCGTATTAACGTCACTGTGGAACTGTCTTCTTTATGTAACTAGCGCAATAACTAAATATATAACGATTTTTTCCAAGCTTGTGATTGACTACAACCCTAACTGGTGGTAAGTGGTGATAAAGCCCTAGATGGTTAATCGCGCTTTCTTAGCTTAATAAAAGTCTAACTTAAAGACGCCTAGGTTATAATCGGATGAAAATACAGACGCCGGCAAAATATTTTACTTCCTTATTGTAAGCATTACAAAAAAGCAAAACGTTTATTTCGAATGCGTGGATTATCGATTACAAAGAGGTGAAGACCTGCCGACCGTCTGCTCGTCTAATGGTGACGAGTGACGAGGGAGAAGTTTAGGCATGTAATTATATATTTCTAGTGCACATTCTCCAAAAACATATGAATGAATATTCTTTTTTTTGCACATATCGAATATGAAGCGGTAATGTGGTGCTCTATTGTCACCAAATTAAAAAATCGCGATCCACTCAACAAATCACTTCCACTAGATTTTTGTTGTACTTATATAATAAAAGAAGTTCACAAATAGCAAGAGTATATTTGATTTAATACTTCTGACGTAGTTAAGATTGTTTATTTCGAATAAAATTGAAAAGTTAATTGAAAATAATTCAGTCAGTTGGCTGGTATGGATGTGAACAAGATATTTTTCAAAAACTGAACTTATCACTTACACTTTTTTTAATTAACTTTAGAATTTAACCCTTAGGAAGTCTTAGAATTTAACTGTTGTAAACCTTACCGTTAATTAATAGTTAAAAATCATTTCAAAAACTGAAAAATCTGCTGTTCCGTTTTTTTTTTTAGCTAAACCAGTTAGGATACATTCTAAACATCTGGGAAAAATGCATATACATTAAACTGTAATATAACACTCATGAAATTGGAACTTTATTAATATCTACATTGTGTAATTATGAAAAAAAACCGACAGACAAAATCAACTTTTCTATATATAACTTTTGTCCACCACTGAACAGCTATATGCAGTTTTCTAACTCTTTATATAGAAAATCTGTACTTTCAAATGCCTTAGATTTCATCTCTGTACAGTCTGGGGCACAGGTTCATACAATTTTTGGCCATCTCCTTGACATCCGCTATTTAAACATTTTATAACAGGAGTATCGCAAAATCGTTTCTTAGTAGATACTTATATTAAGAAAGTTACAGTTCGAACTTCAGACAATAAACTTCAGCAGCTCCGACTTGGCGTTGATAAAACAGTCCATTGGGACCAAAGACTTCTACCTATAAGACTTTGATTGGGATAAATTAGTTTATGTAAAGACCGTTACCGTTAGAGCCTATTAAAGTCCAATTCTGAACATAGGCCTCCTCCATAAATTGATTATAAGGAAGACGTTGCTGCCTATCTCCTGATTGGTTTCTCTCTGTCGCCTCGTCCGACATCCACGGGATTATATGGGGTAGCGGATATTCTTATCAGTCTTAATACAGTAAATAAATGAATATAAAGGGGTAGTTAATAAACAAATGTAATTCATAAATAAATAATAAATTACGTTAATGTCGCAAATTTGTGCGGCCAATCAATGAAGTCAAGTCACCCTCAAATAATAGGTCACCAACAAAGCACTCTCAAGATAAGCTCAAAGTAAAGGGTGCCCACTTAAACGAGAACCTCTTACCCTTTCTGAAAGTCAAAACAGCATCCTTTATACGAACTATTGAAGCTTATGAGAGTGTTTTTAATACTTTTGCAAGGGGAACAAGTAAACGGAGTAAGAAATACGAATAGCTGCCTAGTGACACCATTTAGAATCATTGGGAATGATTTTGTAAGCAGAATCTTTGAAGCACATACAAAAATATACAAAAATTCATGTCTAGATATAATTTTCAGTTCGTTTTTTTTTTAATTTCCAATGAATATTTCTATAAAATAAATATTCTGTAAAGTCGTAATGTGCTTTTCAAATATAATAATCTTTTGGCTTTCTATCGCTATGTTTTAATATTTTTGGACAACATCTTCACCGTCCATGAAAAAATTTACAACCATTAGATGACCGTCGCATTTATTTCCCCTCTTCGCTCTACCTATACCTTACCTTTTCAATACAACCTTTTTTCCTTTATTACAGTATACATAGGGGCTGGGTAAAATAACGTGTTTGGTACTGCAATTATCAATCCACCTGGCCAGCATGAAGATTAAGAAAGAAAAAATTAAAAAAGGAAAGAAACAAACAAACAAACATCAAATGATAGATGATTGCAGTCTTATTAACTCATACAGAGAAGTAGTAGAGCTCTGCTATAGTTATACTACAGTTGCATGACGGTCAGGTCGGTTCGAACGGGGATGAACCACGCTGTCACAGAACTCTGCACTTCGTATTGTGAGTGTTGAGGAATCGGAGACCCATTTCACTGGAATCGAGGAATTCCATTTAAGTACAAACAACGCATCTACATTTTCGTACTTTATCTGTGGATGTTTTCGTGCTACTGCATTCACGCACCATCGAGTGGAACATGTGCTCGCAGGTTTATTATATCTTATTTTATTTAAAAAAACTAAAATTTAAGCATGGCGTTATGAACGTGTGATTTAGATGTACCTAATTGTGTGCTCGTTTGTTATCAAATTCTTCTATAGGCTTGTTTTATAATAAATTACCATTTATCAATAGCTCAATCCGGATATCTGCTGTTAGTTTAGTTTAGAAAGTTGTTATTCTTTTTAAAAATTGGCATATCATGGCGCTTTGCAAGCTACAAGGTAAATGGATACCGTTTTTCCATAACTTTACTGAGTTACTAAAATGGACACTTTAATTACCGAACACCAATTGCAACTTAAAATACACTAATAATAAAACACAATCTTCAGTTATATCGTTTCGAAATACTCGCCAATTGTATCGCCAATTCAATACTGACTCGGTTGCGATCCTTACCAACCTTATAAAGGACTTCTTTTACTGAATAATCCAGATTGTTCGAGTACATACCGGTCCCAACTGACTAGATGTAGAATTTTCTAGTATTGAATTTTCTAGAAAGCTTTTCTAGTTCTGCTACTCGATACTAGATGGAGCTAGTGGGTACTCGCAGTGTAACAGGCAATAATTATGGCTCGCAACAATAATTTTAATTGACTGTACTGAAAAAAAAGGTACTACACGGGTCTGGCAAGTAACTTTAAAAGTTGCCGCATTAATAAAGATTCGAAAATGGTATAACACTTGCAAGATTATTTATTAAATTATGGAAAAAAAAGTTTTGAGGAAAGGAAGTTGTGAATTAATTTTACTTCCTGTCTAAAAGGATTTTTGTGTACCGCAAGACTTTGCTTATTTTTTTTAGGACACCCAGTAGTGAAATAATTTTACTTACCTGTTTAAAATTATTTTTGTGTACCCAAAGACTTTCCTCAAACCTGTTACTTAAGAGTTTAGTTTGAGTGAAACGGAGGGAACCAGTTAAGTGTGAAAAAAAATTCTTATATTAGGCGGTAGTATTTCTCCCTACTATGAAGGAAGTACATGTTCGGCAATGGACTTTTACGTGTTGATGATTAAAAATTAAAAAAAAATCCAAAAGTGCCTACTTCGTACGCTAATGTAAAGTTTTTAATAATAAATTTAATTTTTTTTTAAAACCCGAAACACGTATTTCGTTTTAAGCTATAAAAAAAATGTTTCTGTTTAATTAAGCACAATTTTTTTGTCTTCTCGATACCGGTAATTCTTATTTTATTACCGAAAAAGAATTGTATTGTTGTAAACCTTCCCGTTAAATATTAATTAACGGGAAGGTTTACAACTATTAATATATAACTATATATAACTAACAATTCTAAGACTTCCTAAGGGTTAAACTCTAAAGTTAATTAAAAAAAAGTGTAAGTGATAAGTTCAGTTTTTGAAAAATATCTTGTTCACATCCATACCAGCCAACTGACTGAATTATTTTCAATTAACTTTTCAATTTTATTCGAAATAAACAATCTTAACTACGTCAGAAGTATTAAATCAAATATACTCTTGCTATTTGTGAACTTCTTTTATTATATAAGTACAACAAAAATCTAGTGGAAGTTATTTGTTGAGTGGATCGCGATTTTTTAATTTGGTGACAATAGAGCACCACATTACCGCTTCATATTCGATGTGTGCAAAAAAAGAATATTCATTTATATGTTTTAGAGAATGTGCACTAGAAATATATAATTACATGCCTAAACTTCTCCCTCGTCACTCGTCACCATTAGAAGAGCAGACGGTCGGCAGGTCTTCACCTCTTTGTAATCGATAATCCACGCATTCGAAATAAACGTTTTGCTTTTTTGTAATGCTTACAATAAGGAAGTAAAATAATTTGCCAGCGTTTGTATTTTCATCCGATTATAACCTAGGCGTCTTTAAGTTAGACTTTTATTAAGCTAAGAAAGCGCGATTAACCATCTAAGACTTTATAACCACTTACCACCAGTTAGGGTTGTAGTCAATCACTAGCTTGGAAAAATCGTTATAAATTTAGTTATTGCACTAGTTATATAAAGAAGACAGTTCCACGTTACGTTACGTTAATACGGGTTTGGTTCGGCAATACAAGCTATGACTGTCGTTGTATTGGAAACGGGTACATCTCGTTTTTTTATTTTCAAAATTGATTTACATTTTTTTATAGAATAGGGTGACAAACGAGCACACAGTCCACCTAATGGTAAGTAGATGCTGTGGCCCATAGACTTCTACATTTATCCTCGATTACTTCCATAATAGAAATATTAATATGAATTTTTAACTTTATTGCCATACCGTTTAATATATCGATACATCTTGAATGTTACTTACTGCTAGTCCAGGGGGGAGAGGTGGGGGACTAGGGACCTGAATTAATTGAACACTTGGTTTCCTTCTATGTTTGCAAATCTGTTAGAATCCACAATATTTCTTTGGGCCATTTCTCTTTTAGCTCTCACATAACAACCATGGCACAAAAAGTTGGCCGCTATAACCTGAAAAAATATAAAACCTTACCATATTGTTCACTTTAATTTATGTGACAAGCTGTTGAAAACACAAAATAAAGATGAATGTTACGGTATATGTATATGGGAGAGCTTTATTGCAGAATGATTACTTTGAAAAGTTAGTTTTAGTCAACAGTACAGCACCATTACAAATGTTCGAGTTTAGAGATTGACATTACCACATATGGGTCACAGTGATTGTTTAACTATTGTGTCTTATTTGCAGTGAGCTTTAATGAATAATGAAAATAATTACTCACATGGTGATGCCATGATGATACAACTGAGGCGAGAAAACTAAATTCGGGAATGCTGTGTTTTATTGCTCGTGCAACAGATCTACCACAGCCATAGCAAATATTATTATGACCAACTTGGTCTTTCCCCTGAATTTGTTGCAAGGCATCTTGTTATAATATCATAGCAGGCACCGCAGACGCAGCTGCGTCTGCGGTGCCTCTGTACTTATCCCTCACAGTTGTCGGTTAAAATTTCCAATAAGGACCATTGATTTAAATTCCCATATTTTTTTGTAGATAGTACTCACTAAAAGAAAGCGTTTTGCAAAGTTTTAAGTTGCAGAAACTTACGGTTCATGAGATATATATTTTTAACTTTTTATACAAATTGGCAAATAACACGCAATTAGAAAATAAATTTGACAAATAATGGCCAACATTTTTTCTAATTAATGAAATGAAATTATAATATTTACAATTAATACTAATTACACACAATATATAATAAAAAGAAACTGTAATACAGAAAAACTAACACTAAAAGTTATTTAAGTCAAACGTCAATCACTTAACGTTTCAATTAGTGTAGGTTCCGAAAATTTTGAAAGTATCGATACCTAATCGATACCCAGTATCGCATCAAAAGTATCAATACTACTTGGTATCGAGTACATTTCGTTAATTTTGGAGACTTTAACTTTCCAATATGGAACATCGATATATGAGGAATTAGGGGCGGGAGGGGGGAGGGGGATGGCTACCCCCTGTGCCATCCCCACCCCGCGGAACCCCATGGTTTTGGAGATATTCATGGTTAAAATTTATTACATTATTTATTATTATTCTCGTTTCCGTAAGGCTGATGAAATGGAGGGGGGATATGGGGGAGGAGAGGTAAAATGAACTAGATTAAATTAAGAAAAGGGTGGGGCTTATGGGAGGAGGGTGGGTTATTAGCGGGGAAGTGAGGTGGGGGGAGGGTTAGAAGCAGGGAAGTCGTGTTCCGGCGCTCTGTGGCAGCTCCGGCGCTGCGAGATGAGCAGTCCCTCCGCCCTGGCGTAACACAGGCGCTTCCCTACGGCGGGCGGGCACTGCTCTCCCTCCACGTATCCGGGCTCTTATATACACCCTAGGGGTGGGGCAGACAAGACCACGTGGATAGTGGTGTGCTCTGATTCGGTTTTGGGTACTTTTTGGATATTAAATAAATAAGTGAACACTTTATTGTAGTAGTAATTAGATAATGCAGAAAGTTGCAAACAATAATATACAGAAGCTGTACTAATTAAGAAATACCAACAAGTTGCAAACGATGATCTATTTTATATACATATTTAATTGCACTTATCAGCTCTTCATATGTATCTAAATGGTTTGTCATAATTTTTCGTCTCCAAAATTAACGAAATGTACTCGATACCAAGTAGTATTGATATTTTTAATGCGATACTTGGTATCGAGTAGGTAGCGATACTTTCAAAATTTTCGGAATCCTACACTAAATGACGTTTGACATCAATCATTTGTCAAATTTATTTTGTAACGTGTGACGTTTGACTTAAATAACTTTTAGTGTTAGTTTTTCTGTATTACAGTTTCTTTTTATTATATATTGTGTGTAATTAGTATTAATTGTAAATATTATAATTTCATTTCATTAATTAGAAAAAATGTTGGCCATTATTTGTCAAATTTATTTTCTAATTGCGTGTTATTTGCCAATTTGTATAAAAAGTTAAAAATATATATCTCATGAACCGTAAGTTTCTGCAACTTAAAACTTTGCAAAACGCTTTCTTTTAGTGAGTACTATCTACAAAAAAATATGGGCATTTAAATCAATGGTCCGTATTGGAAATTTTAACCGACAACTGTGAGGGATAAGTACAGAGGCACCGCAGACGCAGCTGCGTCTGCGGTGCCTGCTATGATATTATAACAAGATGCCTTGCAACTTGAAAGACCAAGTTGGTCATAATAATATTTGCTATGGCTGTGGTAGATCTGTTGCACGAGCAATAAAACACAGCATTCCCGAATTTAGTTCTCTCGCCTCAGTTGTATCATCATGGCATCACCATGTGAGTAATTATTTTCATTATTCATTAAAGCTCACTGCAAATAAGACACAATAGTTAAACAATCACTGTGACCCATATGTGGTAATGTCAATCTCTAAACTCGAACATTTGTAATGGTGCTATACTGTTGACTAAAACTAACTTTTCAAAGTAATCATTCTGCAATAAAGCTCTCCCATATACATATACCGTAACATTCATCTTTATTTTGTGTTTTCAACAGCTTGTCACATAAATTAAAGTGAACAATATGGTAAGGTTTTATATTTTTTCAGGTTATAGCGGCCAACTTTTTGTGCCATGGTTGTTACGTGAGAGCTAAAATAGAAATGGCCCAAAGAAATATTGTTGATTCTAACAGATTTGAAAACATAGAAGGAAACCAAGTGTTCAATTAATTCAGGTTCCTAGTCCCCCACCTCTCCCCCCTGGACCAGCAGTAAGTAACATTCAAGATGTAACGATATATTAAATGGTATGGCATTAAGTTAAAAATTCATATTAATATTTCTATTATGGAAGTTGAACTTGTAGCGATCTATGAAGCTTTATCCTATATACAATCATGCAATTATAACAATGTCATTTTTTAACAGATTCAAGGAGTGCGCTTCAACACCTTGCTCGGTGTACTTCGGTTTTTCGAGGCTTACCAGTAGCATATGTGATTTTAAAGCTTCTAGTTTAAGTTACGGGCTGACTCCATAGTTTATATATAGCTATATTTACAATGGATACCTTCGCACATTGGCTTAGAGGGTAATGAAAAGGCTGATTTTTAGCCAAACAAGCTATTTCGGAAGGCACTGATATTAATATTACCCCTTCATTTCAAAATTATATACCGTTATTAAAAATATTGTTATAACCTCTGGAAGGAATATTTTGACATAAGAGCAAAAGAGAAGAGTATATGAAGATCCAGCCGCACCCAATGCGCTCAACCTGGATAGATAACCGAATATTGTGTAGACGCGACACTGTAATAGCATTAAGACTCAGATCTGGGCACATTCCACGCAATAAATTTTCATACCTGATGTGAAAAACTACCTCACCAAACTGTTCAACTTGCAACGTTATCAATGATATTTATCACATTTTGATAGTATGTGCCCAGAACTCCATTACAAATGTATATTACAATTTTTTTACTCTGGAGTTCTGCAAGCAAGGTAGAAGAAGAAGAGCAAGGTCTTGAAGCGCACTCCTTGAATCTGTTAAAATAATGACAATGTTATAATTGCATGATTGTATATAGGATAAAGCTTCTTAGATTGCTACAAGTTCAACTTCCATAATAGAAATATTAATATGAATTTTTAACTTTATTGCCATACCATTTAATATATCGATACATCTTAAATGTTACTTACTGCTGGTCCAGAGGGGGAGAGGTGGGGGACTAGGGACCTCAATTAATTGAACACTTGGTTTTCTGTTAGAATCAACAATATTTCTTTAGGCCATTTCTCTTTTAGCTCTCACGTAACAACCATGGCACAAAAAGTTGGCCGCTATAACCTGAAAAAATATAAAACCTTACCTAATTTAAAGTGTGAATATTTCAATTCCTCGGACATTCGGGTTTTCTTACGATATTCTCTTTCACCGCCGATCACGTAATTTATCAAATATAAAATGCAGCTCAAATTTTCTTTTGTGCTGAAGTGATTCGAACTTGGCTTGCTCGCGTACTATGAAATTCACAGCAGGCGCTAAACTTCTGAGCTACTACAGATCTATATAAGTTAATGCTATGCACCCTGAATACTTTAATTTCCTTTGATATCATATAAGTAAACAAGGAAATAAAGTTAAAGTTCGGCCGCAATAAAAAAGGCTTCTTTATATATGTAGGGGAATGAAAGAGCCTGTGAGAGGTTCCCCAATTGCATGGATATTTAATTGATTCAACAATGGCCGGGTTTTCCCAGGGGATGTGAGATTCGAGAAGAGCCAGGAATACTATTATTGGATACAAGCGATTGGACAAACCCTTTTTTTGATAGTCAATGAAATAATTATAATGTTAAAAATATAACTAAAATATAAATTTCCTATCAATATTTTTATTTTTAATATGAGAGGGGGGGCAAACGAACATGCGGCTCACCTGATGGTAAGTGACTATCGCCGCCCACAGAACGGCCTTATAAAACTACTATTCCTTTTAAATCGTTCTGTTCTTAAAGGTTCCTAAGTTGTATCGGTCCGGAAAAACTATTTTAACATAACATTTTTATAGCAGAAATGTACAAACATGTAAAACACAAGTAAATTCGAAAATTCGAAGATTTTAATAGAAATGAAAAGTAAGGTTTTATTTTCCTAGAGGGTTACTAAACAATGAGTCTGCCGCGCCTCTCCATTTCGTAATGCCGACTCCAATGTCTTCGAAATTCCTTAATTTCATTTTAATTTTGCTATAAGTAGTGTACACTAAATGACGTTTGACATCAATCATTTGTCAAATTTATTTTGTAACGTGTGACGTTTGACTTAAATAACTTTTAGTGTTAGTTTTTCTGTATTACAGTTTCTTTTTTATTATATATTGTGTGTAATTAGTATTAATTGTAAATATTATAATTTCATTTCATTAATTAGAAAAAATGTTGGCCATTATTTGTCAAATTTATTTTCTAATTGCGTGTTATTTGCCAATTTGTATAAAAAAGTTAAAAATATATATCTCATGAACCGTAAGTTTCTGCAACTTAAAACTTTGCAAAACGCTTTCTTTTAGTGAGTACTATCTACAAAAAAATATGGGCATTTAAATCAATGGTCCGTATTGGAAATTTTAACCGACAACTGTGAGGGATAAGTACAGAGGCACCGCAGACGCAGCTGCGTCTGCGGTGCCTCATGATATTATAACAAGATGCCTTGCAACTTGAAAGACCAAGTTGGTCATAATAATATTTGCTATGGCTGTGGTAGATCTGTTGCACGAGCAATAAAACACAGCATTCCCGAATTTAGTTCTCTCGCCTCAGTTGTATCATCATGGTATCACAATGTGAGTAATTATTTTCATTATTCATTAAAGCTCACTGCAAATAAGACACAATAGTT